CCTTGAAAGAACAATAATCAATTTTGTATGGAAAAACAAAAGACCCAGGATAGCCAAAACAGTCTTACTCAACACTGGAGGAATCACCATCCCTGACTTCAAGTTCTATTATAGAGCTGTAGTCCTGAAAACAGCTTGGCATTGGCACAAAAACAGACAGGTAGACCAATGGAATCGAAGTGAAACCCTGATATTAACCCACACATGTATGAACATCTGATCTTCGACAAAGAAGCTAAAAATATACAATGGAGAAAAGAAAGCATCTTCAACAAATGGTGCTGGCATAACTGGATGCTGGCATGTCTATTGCCATGCACAAAACTTAAGTACAAATGGATCAAAGACCTCAACATAAATCCAACCACACTGAACCTCTTAGAAGAGAAAGTGGGTGGTACCCTTGAATGAAGTGGTACAGGAGACTGCTTCCTGAACATAACACCAGTAGCACAGACACTGAGGTCAAAAACTAATACATGGGACCTCCTGAAACTGAGAAGCTTCTGTAAGGCAAAGGACACAGTCAGCAAGACAAAAAGGTAGCCCACAGAATGGGAAAAGATATTCACTAACACCACATCTGACAGAGGGCTAATCTCCAAAATTTACAAAAAACTCAAGAAGCAAGTTTCTAAAACCCAAAGGATCCACTTAAAAAGTGAGCTACAGAACTACATAGAAAATTCTCAATAGAGGAGTCTAAAATAGCTGAGAGGCACTTGAGAAAGTGCTCAACATTCCTAGCCATCAGGGAAATGCAAATCAAAACAACTCTGAGATACCATCTTACTCCTGTCAGAATGGCTAAAATCAAAAACACCAATGACAGTTTATGCTGGAGAGGTTGTGGAGAAAGGATCACTCCTCCACTGCTGGTGGGAGTGCCAACTCATACAGCCACTTTGGAAATCAGTATGGAGATTCCTCAGAAAAATGGGAATAAGCCTACCACAAGACCCAGCTATTCCACTCTTAGGCATATTTCCAAAAAATGCACATTCATACAACAAAGACATCTGTTCCACTATGTTCATAGCAGCATTATTTGTAATAGCCAGAACTTGGAAGCAACCTAGATGCCCCTCAACTGAAGAATGGATAGAGAAAATGTGGTACATTTACACAATGGAGTACTATTCAGCAGGAAAAAAAAAACAATGGAATCCTGAAATTTGTAGGCAAATGGATGGCACTAGAAGAAACGATCCTGAGTGAGGTAACCCAGTCACAAAAAGAGAAACATGTTATGTACTCTCTCATTTATGGATTTTAGACATAGATCTGGGGAGTGCCAGCCTACAATCTTAACTGCCAAAGTCTGGGGGAAAAAACCTTCATTCAATGACTGATGGAAACAGAGGCAGACTCCTACAGCTAAACACTGAGCTGAACTCAAGGAACCCAGTATCCGAGAGGGAGGACTGAAAAGCAAAGGGGTTAAGACTGGGCTGGTTTAACCCCCAGAAACAGCTGACCTGAGAAGAGTTAGCTCTCGAATCCCATACTGATGGCTGGGAATCTAGCATGGGACTGATCACGACCCCATGAATGTGGGCTTCAGTGAGGAGGCCTAGGCTATCTATTGGGCCTTGGGTAGTAGATCAGTATTTATGCCTCACATACAAATGGACTTTGGGTACCCATGCTACAAGGAGAGATGCACTCTCATCCTGGACTCTTGGGGAAGGGTCTTTGCCTTGCCCTGGATGAAATGACAGACTATGGATACCCCATGGAGGGCCTCACCCTCCCTGGGAAATGAGGGTGTACTGGGGGTGTTGGAAGGAGGGCATGGGAGGAAGGGAGCGAAAGAGGGAGGGACCTGTGATTGACATTTGAAGCAATCTTGTTTCTAACCTAAATTTAAAAATAAAAACAATTTTAAAAAAGAAATCAAGCTTGAACATAAAAAAGAAGTCTATGAAACTATTGACATCTGAGTTTTGATAAAAATGCATACTAGATGAAAGGCAACATTTTCAACAATGTTGGGAAATCTAGTTGTATGCATGTAGAAGAATGAAGCTAGACCCATCCTGTTAAAAATCCTCCAAATGGTTCAAAGACTTCAATGTAATATATGAAATTCTATAACTGGTAGAAGAGATGGGAGGTAGTAGACTACAACATACAGGAACAGGTAATAATGTTATAACTAGGACTACAGTCACTCAGAAATAGGCCAACAGCTTCCACATGGAAGTCCATGAAACTAAACAGCTTCTGTGCAACAAAGGAAATAGTCAATATGGTGAAGAGGCAACTTACAGTATGGAAGAAATTCTTTGCCAACTATGTATCTGAGAAAGTTTTAATGCCCAAAATATATAAAAAAACGAAAAAGATGAAAACCCCAATTTAAAAGCGGACTATATGTGTGAACAGAGAATTTTCAAAAGAATAAATAGCAATGACCCATAAACAGTTTTGAAGACTTTTTATTATTAACCATAAGAGAAATACAAATTATAAAACTACTTTGAGATTCTGTTCACCCCAGTTAGAATGGCCATCATCAAAAAACCAAATGATGGCAATGATTTGTGGAAAGAGGATCCATTGTTGGTGGAAGTGTAAACTTTTTTAGTCATTAAGAAAATCAGTGTGGAGATTCCTATAAAACAGTGATTCTCAACCTTTCTATTCTGTGACTCTTTAATGCAGTTCCTCATGTTGTGGTGACCCCAAACCATAAATTATTTTTGTTGCTACTGCATCATTGTAATTTTGTTCCCATTTGAATCATAATGCAAATATTTGAAATGCAGGATTTCTGATATGCAACCCTTGGAAACTTCTACTCTAACGGTCAAAGATAGAAGAAATCCCATATGTTCCTGCTACTCTTCTCTTAGACATATGTACAAGGGCCTACTCTATACCATACTACAGAAATACTTGCTTATCCATGTTTATACTTGCTTCTTAAAAAAACAGTTAAGAAACAGAAAGAGCCTAGATGTCCACTAACTAAAGACTAGATAATGAAAATGTGGTACAGTAGGATTTTACTCAGCTGCAGAGAAAAATGATGCTATGAAATTTGTAGGTAAATGGGTGGCTCTAATAAAATAGATGCTGAGTAAGGTTAGCCAGGCACAGAAAAACAAACACCACACTATCCATTACATGTAAACCTCACATTCTCCATTATATATAGATCCCAAGTTCAAATCTCTAATTTTGTGGGTTCAATTTAGAATCCTAGTAGAAGACAGTGACTTAGAAAGGGGCCAATCGGGGTGCGAATGCTCACAGGAATTGGAAAGTCAGGCTGGAAGTGAGCTGAATCTTCTACCTGACAGGTAGCATTTGTAATTCTACAAGCTCCTGTGTGGACTACCGGGGTAAAAATGGCATCAATGGTTTTATACAACTGTGAGTTCTATGATCTAAAAAAACCAACCTGGAGAGATAGAGGATCCCATTTGTGCAATAGTGGTCCTGCCATTGTGGGGGTAAACAACTTCTGATTGGATTTGAGACTCACTCAACACGAAAGAATCCATGTCTATTGCTATAAATCTGATCACATACCCATAGCGGTGGAATTCAGAGTTTCTAAGTAGGGAACAGAATGCTGTTGTTTATCAACTGATACAGATCAAACTACCTTCTAAATATTTGTTTATACCTATAGATATGCAGTACTCTCATCCTTAATTGAGAAGCTCTCTTTCCAGTGAGCTGTGGTTTTAAAACAGAGACTTGTAGCTGCAGGATACTGAGAGCACAGCCCTAAATAATACATTAATACCATCCTGTGCATGGTTTATGGGATACTGAAAATAGAAGCAGAGTGAAAAGGAATGTAAGAGCTGATAGAGAGAAGGCTATAAAATGTCATCTCCTGGCAAGACATAGCTATGCAACCACAAACTCAAAGTAAGCAAGTATACATTCACTAAGTGTACCCAATAATGGAACTGTTAACAGTCCAGTATGGCAAGGAGAGAGTCTCAGGGGGGTCTCTTCTTCGCTGTTGGACTATTTTCTAATGATAGATTAGGGAGAATGGGAACCATTGTCTTTAATTGTATGTTCATTGGTGATTCCACCAGGTTCCAATGGAGAGTTCTAATTTAATGATCACACAGATGGATAAAATATAGTACCTATACAAATTAGACTTTTGTTATCTCAAACAAAAATGAAATCATAACATTTCCAAGAAAATGAATGGACCTGGAAATCATTATGTTAAGCAAGTAAGCTAGGCTAAGAAAGACAAAGACTGGATATTTTATATTATATGCAGAATCTAGAGCTAAATGAATGTGTTTGTTCGAGATGAAACTAGAAAGGGATCATGAGAGGGGAGGAAGGTATCATAAGGAGAGAGAAAGGAACAGAACACATGTGACATGAAAACATAAAAGGTGCTGCTGGTGTGTTTCAGTCCTTTATATTGGTTGTAAAGTTGACTTGGAATTGTTGGACACTGTCTTCCAGCTACACTGGTTTGTGTCTCAGGGTAAAACAGATTTTCTTCATTTTTGTTATATATTTCCCACATTTTAAAAATAGGAAATGGTAGACCCCATTTTCTGTTCCTAAGAATCTCAGTCTTCAACTGTCTGCTGTAGTAGTCTCAAAATAGTTTCACCATGTGTAATTTTCCCTTATAAGATTTCCTTCAGTCAATAGAGTAACAGATGTCCAGTTGTTATACTGTACATGTTTTGTAACAATTACTTTTGTTTAAGACAAAGGCAAAAATGTGATTCCTTGTGTCCTAGGTGTCTAAATGCTGTGTCCAAACATCTATGCTGCTTTTAAGATGAATAGCAAATTTTTTGTTACACAAGCAAACTCTCCTAACTCACTTTTCATCATTTAACCAAATTGCATTTCTATAACTTTAGTAAGACAATTTTTCACAGAAGGAAAACTTACTATCTAGGGAATTCTAATGCCAATTATTTAAAGTGTGCTCCTGCATTTTTATTGTACTGAATATAATTTAAAAGTTGTTGGTGTTATTATGAACAACTTACTTGGTTTGTGTCAGATCAACTAAGATGAGATCTTTCTCTAGAAGTACAGCAACAGCATAGGGCTCTTGAAATTCTACAACAGAAAGAAAACACTGAAAAGTTTCTATACTTCGTATTTCATTTAAACCATCAGCACTGCATTTCCTTTATCTCATATAGAGATGTTATTTAAATGATGATAAAACCAAATTATGAGCCAAAGTGACAAAGAATACTTTTAATAAAATGTTTTATTTGACAACTATAATGTTAAAATATCTAATAGAACAAGGAAAATGACCATATGTATAGTACACAGTCAAATAAATTTCAAAAATCATGAAGTGATTGCAGTCCTGGACTAACAGAAAAGAGTGAGAGTGTCACTGCAATCTTATGATCACTATCATACTCATCCATAAGCTTAGTGCTTTAGATCTAGATCATGCCTACTGGGAGACACTCTGAGACTGCACTAACCCTGCTTCTCTATGATATGATATACAATCACCTCACTATGATAGTAAAACACTTATAGTTGGATGTATACTTTGAGTCAATATAGTTTAGTATACTCTTACAGACTATTCCTGTGTGCATGTGTACAAGCCTGCAAAAATCAAACAATGTGAGGTAACCGAAGATTTTCAAGTTTCTAAAATCCAAACTTCTTTCCATTGTTCTGTTCCCTCCTATTCATGCTCCATTATATCCCAGAAGTTGTCTCAAAAAACCAAAAGCTATATGGGGAATAAGACTGACAATACATTTTTCTTGTGGATCTTTACAATCTGTGAACAGTGTTAAAATATGAATTTGGGAACTACTATGAGCTGTGGGAAGATAAGGGGAATGGTATAAAATGTAACTTGTGCTAAGATGGGAGCAGTGATTTAGTTAAGAGGCAAAGCAAGCATTGTTTTCCATTTACAATAATTGACTAATGGGGACAGCCAAAGTAAAAGTGATGTTCTCAGTTTTAGGAAACTGAATAAGAAAACGTTTTATATGTATGACCTTGATTCTTACTAGCTATGGAGTGTTATTTTTGCCATATTGCTGAGAAAGCATTCAGAAGAGGCACAGGATCATCAACCAGTGGTTAAACTGAAATTTAAACCCAGGACTTTAAACTCTTAACTTCCATCTTGTTTTCATTATACCAGCAGTCTTTAGTTGAAAAGTATTTATCCTAAACTCAATAATCACTCAACAGATGTCTTCTACAGAGGATTGAAGTCTTTTGTGAGAAATTTAAATACTGGAGTAAACAGCCTTCGGAGTAACTTCCATGCCTGAGAGGCTACAGAGCCTACCCAAGTTCATGCTTACAACCAACATTCACACAAGAGAAAAACACAAAAGCAAACAAGTAAATGAGAACAAGGGTTAAAACTTGCTGGTGTTTAGGAGGTCATCTATATGACAACAGGAAGTCTGTAACAGTCCAATGTACAAACTATTCTCATACTAAGATGTTCCCAATATTTATCTTTAGCATTGTTTTAAGTTTCTCAGTGTTGTTTTAGTACAATTTGGTTCTAAGTTTGAGGAACAGTAGGGTTCAATATGACTACTTATTTTCTCTTTGTCAGCTCTCCTTAGGAACTTCATTGGCTAGATTTATAGCAAGTGTTAGAAAATAAAATAGCTGAGGCATTACCATGTATGAACGAAAGTCATAGATAAATTGAAATTGTAGACTGTTAGTTACATTTGTCAAAAGTTACTGTTGTTCCTATACAAGCAAAAACTGGCAGCAGAAGTTTCACCTTGTAAAAGTCCTTTGTATATTGTGACAGCAACTAAAGAATTGTTTAGGAATCATATTGAGTTCAATTCTTTGCCTATTATTTACTAGAAGTTTTGTCTTGGGCATATCAGTTACATTCTTTAACTTGAAGTTCCTTTTCCACTGAAATGGCACAATTATAATCGCCTTAAACTGTTATAAAAGTTATATGAAAAACTACACATGATGATAAATAGTACCTTTTTAGGTTGGTATATCTCATCTTTTAATCCTTGCTCTACCAGTTAAGGATGAAGAAAGTTCTATCACAATTATTATTCTGAAAATAATACATCATTTGAGAGGCCCAGAGATGACTGGCCATCTAAATATAGATGTGAACAGGCAACTTCTGATTACAGTTATTACTCTGGATTATGATCCCATTAGCAATGTTACAACATTGAGTTGTAAGTTAAATTGTCAGATGTCATAAAAGTTATCAGCAGTATTAAAATTATGGACAACTTGGTTTAGTCTGGGAATGACATTTATCATATGTATCTGTAAAGAAGATTGGAATTCCCTATTAACGACCAAGGAATAATAATTAAAATACATTAACACGATGATATAGGACAGTGCATGGAATATTATGTCATTTGTAGAAAAAACATCAAGATAATGTATACATCTATATACGCATTTGTAGAGAATAATTAAAAAGGTGAGTAGCACTGGGCGATTCTGGAAAGGCCCTGAGAAACTTCATTATGTATAACACAGGCTTTCTTTTCTGGTGCTTTGATAGACTCTAGATATGAAAAGTTAAAATGTATTTGAGTAGTTAATATATTTACATTACCACCAGTATAGTTAAAACCATTTCTCCTCAAATCTAACAAATGAAAAGTTCAATTCTCCCTATTAGTTTTCTGAAAAACAGACCTATTAATCCACTTGTGGTGGAGAATAGGCATGGTTTAGCAGAATTATGCTTTATTAAAAACCATAATAAATTGTCCTTACATGGCTACTAATGTTCAGAAGACTACATGTATGAAACACGTGTCTGATCTTTGTAATCATGAACTCTCAACTTCTATTTCAGATACATCTCATTGCTCTTACTAGGGGGAATTTTCCTAACTTTAGCTTTTAGTTCGGTATTTTGGCTTTTCTTTCTGTTTCCTCCATATTTCCTTCCTAGGTGACTCTAACCTTTGTTCCTTTGTCATCCATACAAACATTTATAATGTGATAAATCATGAGTAAACATTGTAAGATATTTTCCTCTTTCTTGTTCTCTTATAACTCTACTCAATTTTACTATTCTTTCTTTAAAAAAATGCTGTGACTGTGTTTGAAAAAGACGTAGTGGTTTTGGGTTTGTTTTAATGTTTTTTATGTTCATATTGAAAGAAAATTCATACACACTATAGCATAAACTGTATTAAACTCATTATATAGTTTAGGCAGCCTGGAACTCATGGGAATCCTCTTGCTTCATTCTCCCAAATTCTGAGATCATATGAGTAAAACAACTCACCCAGCTACATTAAATGCATATTAGTTACAAATGCCTTTGCTACAGTTTGGATTTTAGGAGTCTTTCTTTAAACCTACATATTCCTTGAACAAACTTACTAAAATGAGTACTTTCTTTCTCATCTTAGTATTTCCTCAAAGTTCTTCATTTCTCCACACATGTCTCCAAAAATCTTAGATGTTTTCTTATAAATTGATCTTACAAAACACCACAATTTTTTCTCAGTAGCAGGACTTGGGAAGTCTATGTGGCCTCTGGCAGTGGATCCAGTATTTATCCTTAGTGCAGGAATGTGCTTTGGGAGCCCATTCTGTATAGAAAGTTACTCTCTCAGCCTAGATACATGGGGAGGGCCTAGATCCTGCCGCAAATGATGTGACAGACTTTGATGATCCCCCATGGGAGACCTCTCCCTCCCTGAGGAGTGGATGGGGAGCATTGGGGGATGGTCAGGGGAATGGGAGTACAGGAGGGAGAGGGAACTGGGATTGTTGTGTACAATAAGATAGTTTTAATTTAAATAAAAATAAATAACCAACAGTTTATAAGAACCTTTACTCAATCTTTTCAATAAGTTCTGCCTAAATTCTACTTCTCTTTTGAGGCTTTACATGAATATTTTAGTAATTTAACCAGCTATAAAAAGGTGTATTATTTATACTGTGAAACATGTAATTCATCATTACAATCATGCATTACTTCAATTCAATTCATAATTATTTCATTGACTCAACTAGACTTTATGCAATTACTGTAGAGATTATGTTCATATTTCTATAAACTTAACAAGTACTTATAGTATTGAGGCCACATCAACATTCAATAAATATATGTTGATTAAAAAGTCAGGTCATTTGTCTCTAGTAACTATTGAAATAAAGTGCTACGTTGATTGTTAACTGTTATATATTTTAAATATAAAGCTAAATAAATAAAAAGGAATCAATATATTTAGTAATGAAACACAACATACATATTTTCATAGTTAACAAAATATGTTCATTTACCTTTCCACTAATCATATTTGGGTAAAATTATTCCCTTTCTATACATGGTAAGTAAAACATGTAAGCAACTTATTTAGTATATAATAAATGTCAGAGATCAATCATAAATCCAAATATTCTGTCCCAAGACAAGTCTTTGTCCTATATCTACAAGTCCCCTTTTGAGAATGTAGTAATGTATATTAATATTGATTTGATCATAAATTCATATTTCTGGTTTATGTTTTAACCATTTCCAATTTTTAGATTTCATTATTTCATCACCATTAGAGTTTTTATATGAGTTTAGATTACTTTTATGTTTACAAATGTTTTGTATCTTTACTCAAGATAATATATACATGCATCTCTCCTCCTCATGGACGTATAACTATTCTCCAAATTAAAATAAATCACTAACCACACATCAGCAATCCTAGAGTAATCAGATGTGCTGCAGTTGCATCTGAAGCAAAGCCAGATGTGAAAGAGATGCAGCACCACCAGAGTTACAGATCACTGATATCAGGTAAGTGCTTTAACTTTGATTGGCATTGGGATGGGATGGGTGGAGCTGGTCTAGGAGAGACTATTAGGAGACCTCAGTTTCCCCCAAGTGATTTCACCCCGGACCCCTATCGGACCCTCCCAGCTCAGCTTCCACCATCCTTATCAAAGTTTAAAGCACTTACCTGATATTAGAACCTGAAACGCCAGAACTGCTGCACTACATCTGTCTTACTTCCAGTTTGCCAAGTAGGTACAATTGCAGAACCTGCGCCAGCAACTGTAGCTCACAGTGTTGTACCACAGTGGATGTCTGCTGCCAAAACTGAAAATATTTAACCTTAATTTCATTAGGAACTTGTCATTTCAAAATTATTGTTTTTCTAAAATTAAATGTTTCATTTTATCTACTTACCATTTGGATAAGGTGTGTCACACAAAGTTAGAAATTCAACAATAGGATGATCCATTTCAAGTACTGTAATTGCTTTTCCATGCATGATGGTTAAACTTGGTCTTCTGCAAGCTTTGTCATATGACAGCCCACCAGAGAATATTATAAATGGTTCACTACATAGGGGGGAAAAGGGTAATGAGACTACATTCTTTAAGATAACAAGAAGACAAAACATAAGCCTTTAAATAATAGATTCAGAATAAGTTATCTACAATGCAAGTGGCCTTCCTGTCTCTAGTTTCTCAACAATGAATATTTTAGCATCTCCCTTTTCTGGGTCTACATTCTATCTACTAGAATAACTAATGGGTAGGTGTAAAGATATTTGAGTGGCACTGGGAAAGGACAAGATGGAGGGAATTGGGGTACTCACTAACTTTCAAAGGGACATATTAGTACATTTTATTTGGCTAAGAAATTCTATATCACTATCATTAGAACATTAGTTTATGTTATAATATTCAATTAACAAGTGGGCACGTGGGACCCAAGTCTCTAAGATGAAAAAGAGAGGCAAATTTTAATACAAAATGAAATACCACAGTGGAAAGCTCAGAATGCTATATGAGAACATGAAAATTCTAGATAATGAAGTTTCTATATTAAAAGGTTTATGAGAAGATAGAAAGTAATATGTAAATGAACAATAATTTGTCAGAGAAATGTCCCCTACTGAGTTATATGCATATACAGCAAGCTCTAGCTGGTTCAAGTAATTTCACATAAAACTATAGTCTATTACTTTAGTACTTTTTTCTTTTTGAAATTAAAAGACAATTACATCATTTCTCCCTTCCCTTTCTTCCCTCCAACCCCTCACATGTACCATCCTTTGCTGTCTTTCAAATTATGACCCCTTTTTTACTTGTTTACACACACACACACACACACACACACACACACACACACACCATGCTCAGTCTACATATTACTTTTCAAGGTACAAATAAGTAATAAAATGAGTGTCACTCATTTCTTAATTTGGTTGGACTGAAACTGTTTGGATCTGGGAGTGAGGAAAGGTGGGGGAGTACTAGGAGGAGTGGAGAGAGGGCAAACTATGATCAGAATGTAATGTATGAGAGAAGAACAAATTTAAAAAATAGAAATGGACAAGAAAAAAGGAAGGAAGGAAGAAAAAGAAAAAAAGAAATGTGCTCCTGTATATGTCTGTTAGGGCATTTGCAGAGTCAACCTCCATATGGAATAGCAAGTAAAGGCAGTAAGGGAGCACCTGTGCTGAATGCTGGCAGTGCTGTCCAACAGTCGGGGGTCCAGGAAGCAAAAGAGTAAGGAAGGATACCAACATAGGCTTCCTCTTTTCTCGCTCTGCTTCCCAGCTGACATAACGTAAGCCTACTTTGCTTGGTGTACTTTTATGCTGTGATGAGTTTACTTTGCCTTGACACAAGACTAAAATAAATGGAGTCAGTAAATGACAGACTAAAGTGACCTATAGCCAATTAGGTCTTTTTACTTTAACATACTTATTCTCATACTTTGTTACAAGGACACAAAGTGACAAACTCAACAAGGTTTCCTTTGATGATTGGAAACCATTTAAAATAGCTTCATAACTTTTCATTTTTCTACTCTAAACTCAACACACATACTTTATGTTAATAAAGAAGTGTTTTCAGCAAGTAATACCAAATTGAAAATATCCCTCTCCAATACATTTTTAAAAGCACTAGAGAGCCTTTGCAGCAGAGTCATTTTAAAGTCTGCTTTTCTAAAACATCCACTTCCACTCTTTCTGATAAACTAAAGAAGCTGCCTGTCTCTATAAATCTCTATATTTCCTTCTCTTTTTTGTCTTGTGTTATGCAATAATTTGTAAATTTTATGCTGATCAAAGAATAAAAACCATAGAAATCTTAATATTTCTATCACATTCACATATAAAATATCTATTCTAACTTTTAAAAATTATGTCTTGACAAAGCTTTTCTGTTCTCTAAATCCTGCATTGTGGATCATTTGAGTTAATGGCCTAGAATGAATGATTTGACAAACTGAGTCAAGAAACCATTAATTTGGTATTAGAAAGCATATTTCCTATTGTTTGAAATATACTTCCATTTATCCTATAACATCATATTGTAAAGCTTAAGTACATGCAACAAAATTTATATTTAAGTAGTAAATATATGTACACAATGGGTTAGAGGTTTTTTATTAAAAATGTTTATGTGTGTGCGCTTGTATGAGTTTATGTGTATTGTATGAATGTAGGAGCCCACAGAGACCAAAAGCAGGTATCTAGCCCCATGACACTGTATTACAGTTGTGAGCTGACATGTGGATGCTGGGAACCAAATCTATATCCTTTGCAAGAGAAGTTAGTGCTCTTACTGTTGAGCCATCTTTCCTAGTCCCCACAGTGGACGTTTTACTTAGTTTTCATAGCTATTTTCTACTTGTCAGAAATCTTCATCTTTCTTATTCTAAGGTTCTGTGGTTGTTCGAATGAAAATGCCCCCTATAGGCTCAATGTGTAAATATTTAAATATTAGTCAAATTAGTCACCAAGGAGCAGAAATGTTTGGTGATTAGAATAATTAGGAGATGAAGTCATTTTGGAGGTAGGTGTGGCCTTGTTAGAGGAATGTGTCACTTGGGATAGGCTCTGAGGTTTCAAAAACCCCACATCAGGTCCAGTGTCTGCCTCTCTCATTTGCTGCCTGTGGATCAGAACATAGCTTTCAGCTACTTCTCTGGCACCTACCAGCCTGCTGCCATGCTTCCTGTTATGATGATAATGGACTAAACCTCTAAAGTTGTAAGCAAGTTTACAATTAAATGCTTCTTTTAGGAGTTGCCTTTGTCTTGGTGTCCCCTCACAGCAACAGAACAATGACTAAGACAGGCTCACTACTATTCCTTCTAGGTTCAAGATATTTGTGTCATCATTATCTCTCTATTCTCTGGTTATTTTCACTTCTTAACATTTTATTTTAATCAATGTATCAATTTTAAAAAGTGTGGCCCAGCATCAGCATAAACCAGAATTTGTTATAGATACAAATTCCCAGGGCCCTGCCAGACTTTGATTTGAAGTGTTTAGCAGGGAGGATAGCAATGAGTTTGAACAAATCGTCTACTTAAAACAACCCCCCCCAAAAAACATGTTTTGCAACCCCCCCCAAAACCAAAAAAAACCATGTTTTGCTTTAAAAATCTAACACAATATAGTAATAAGAACATATGGGGTCACATATATATGTTCACACACACACACACACACACACACACAGATGTTCATCTATATATGCATGATACAACAACTAGTGAAAAGGAGCATTTCTTAATTAAGACATAGTTTAACCTGGATATAACTCAGTCGAGTTCTCTACTACTTCTGTGACCACATCTTTCATTCTTTTTAAGACTAGTACACTCTAAGTTTTACCCTTAGTTTAAACTTTCAGAGGTGACTTTTATATAAAGTAATAATCACAAAAATAAAAACAAAATTGTCTGTACGCAATGTATACAAATGGAATGAAAGTGTGATCGATAAAATGCTTATTTAATATTATAAATATAATTATTATATTTAGAAACTAATTGTTAAAACAAATATTTAATTAATCTTTAATTTAATCTTCTAATGATAATAACTATGCTAATTTGATTAATTAGGAAACTGAGTGTGTACCCTCTTAGTCATGAAAATCTATGCCTTATGCATTGTTTCACCTAGTTTTCATGAGCATCATAGCAAATCAGATATTACCGCTGATGACACTAAAGGTTATGATATAATTAAAAGTCTCACAGCCATATTATTATAAAGTCAGTGATATTAATCGTGACTTTACACTGTTTCATTTGAGTTCTGATTCCTAAAGTACCTCCTTTTAAGTCCTATCTCAGAAATTCTTTCTCTAAGGAATGTTCCTGACCTCTCTTGATAATTCTCCCTTCCATGATCTTCAAGGATAGGTTAGATGTTCCTTTTATTTTTTCTATAAAATATTTAGTTGCCCAAAAGCTAATAGATAGAAATTTTATAATATTTGCAGCCTGGTTATACCTTTGGCCTTTTTCTATGTCCCCAAAACAAACATCTATCAAACTATCTCTAATGCCATTTAAAAACCACTAGTTTTTTGTCTTGGTCTTTGTTACTAGAGCCTATCAAATTCAAAATCTGGTAGTAATTCATGTTTTAACACAGAAATCAAATTACTCAGTGTGTGATATATAATTAAAACCAACTGAATCAAAATGAACATTGCTGAGCACATCACAGGAGTACATTTTCAAAATGACACCCCTGTAACCAAACAGAAGCCATAAAATGCATGGATTATAAGATTTTCATGGGAAAAGTATCTCAGGCATCACATGAAACTGTTCTTATGTTGCTGTTTTATTTTCATTATTTGTAATCCATAGAAAAGATTGAACACTAATTGATAATTCAATGGATATTATAGTCCTTAGGATATCCAACACTGAAGTAAAGAAAATATTATTTTGGAAAAAAATTACACAAGTTAAAAGGAAAACCAAATAAAGCTATAAGCTGCTTTGAACAATTAATATAATTTCCTGACCTTCAAGGATCCTTAGAGTTTACAGTGTATAACATGGTATATATACTACTTAGGTACATGAAAACTTTTAATTATAAATAACATTTTAAGGAAAGAAGAATTATATAAGATTTGTTTCCATTCACACTGTTTAAATTTGGAATATTTTATTTGTTTAGTTATGGTAAATTGGCCTGCTAAAGATACATTGATAATTTATCATAATTTTATACTATTAGAACTTCAGAAGAGGACATTTTAACAAACATAATTGTATCTATGATGTTAATAGCACATTACAATGTGAACAAGTAACTAGCAAAAAGTAGGAGTTTTTTAGTCTATATTTCTGTTCAGGGGTTGACAAGATGGCTCAGCATGTCAAGGTGCTTGCTCCTGAGTTAGATCCTCAGAACCCATGTGCGTGTACATGAACAATAATAATAATAACATTATTATGCTCATATCGGGTGGGAAAATGCCATTAATGATTATTATAAATTAAAGCAATGCAGAGACTGTGGATATAAATGTAACAAAGTTGTATTAGATATTATTTTATCATATAGTCTTAATATTTAGCTCTTTTCCATCATGAAAATATACATAATTTTATAATTCCAACTAAAGGCTATCTTTGCAAATTCAGTATGTTAAGATTCTAAGTTCAGAGAGATCTGGTTATACATTTAAATCTCTTAGGATTATCAATATATAGATTTAGCTTAATAAATGTTACAAGTATTATAAATGATTCAAAAGTCCTCAACTATTAGAATTAATATATGTTAATATAAATATAATTTAAACATGTAATTTGTTATTTTCAATATTCACAATAACAAAATATGTTAATTATAAAATTAATAATTTATAATTCTATGGTAATATAACATTATCAGAGGTTGTTGGCTTTCTTTCTCCTACTCCTAACATATAATTACATATTTACCAAGTACAACCACGTACCTGTTCCTGCAAGTTTTGTACTCTACTTTAAGAATTGGTTTACAAGGCTCAGACTTCCTTCCTTCTCTTTGACTTTTTCCTAATGAAAGAAAGAAAGAATTAAATCTAACTTAAAATTATACTGATTGATGAGAATTTTTTAAAATTTCATTTAAGAAATATAAACATGGAACAATAATATAATAAAACAGAAATCTATAAGCCTCTGGGGATGAGTCATGTAGCTTCCTCCACTGTGACAATAACCCTTGAACAGATTACACTATGGCAGCTGATACAAACACAACTGAAGCTAAAGGGTCAAGCACAGTTTTAATTGTAGACACTGCTTACAGAAGGGAATAGGACAAGCACTATTTTATATTTCCATCAATGATGATTAAGTTTGGAATAATCTTATTACTCCAGTTATATTATATTGTTAAGCTGGTCATTTTTATGATTTAATGCATAGTAGTTTCAGTTTAAGCTAAAGGTATTGGCTTATTCTTAATGTATCCATATTTTACATAATAAGTCTACATATTCTAATAGTTTATTAAATTCATAAGTTATCATAGAATAAAAACAATGGGATGCTTTATATTAATGAAGTTATTTATAAAAGTATTCACATTTTGCTGCTTTGTATTCTCTAAATATGAATGTAGTTTCTTATAATTTTAGTTATATATACACATAAAATAAAGTATAGCACTGATGATATACACATATATAATGAAGAATAGTATTATTAGAATATATTATTCATGACTGTAATCTCAACACTGAGGCAGGTTGAGAGTTCAAATCCAGCAAAGGGTACAGAAGATCTTCTTCTCCCCCCTTCCACAAGGAAAAAAAGAACAAAAAGAAAGGAAAAGAAAAAGAATAAAATCTGTATCATTCTCAATTACTTGTCTACAATAGTAATAAACTTTCATATTGCAGAAAGTCTTCTAATATAAAGCATATGATAGTCTTACAAAATCATTCAACTTCACTTAAAATGCTGTTACAATGATTAATTTACTGTGTGGAGAGGGGGCACATGTGTGCTATAGTACATAGATAGAGTTAAGAGAACCATTAGTTCTCTCCTTTCACCATTTGGGTCCCAGGCATTGAAATAGTGTTGTAAGGTCCAATTGACATTCAATCTTCAGCTCTAACAGTTTACTTTTTGGAAAGAGTTGCTTATTTTCATTTTATCAATACCTGCCAGTAATTAAAGCATACTTAAATGTAATGTGCAAAACAATAATATCATCAAGTTGATTTATTGTTATTCTCTATCTTACAAGTACTGTATAATAAGTGTCAGGGCACATAGAAGCAACTAAATTATAGTGTGTTTAGAATTCATTAGGTTGAACAATACTAATATAAAAACTGCAGTATGATGCACCAGAAGAAAATGAATAATAGACACAGCATGTTTTAGAAGCTGTAATTAAAACAGGGTTATGGATAGACCAATTTGACTCCATCACAGGATAAATGAAAGAGTAAAAGATAAAAGAAAATTCTCAGGTACAAAATAGTCAACCAATGACAAAATGTATAGCTAATTTCAATATAAATATGGACAACTTTTGAATTCTGGAGTAATATGAATAAAGCAACATTTCAGAACAGTAATATGAGTGAAATTAACAAAAGTTATTATGAAAAGTGTTAGAAATTGATGCTGGGAACAAGGAGAGTGTGACAAACCAAACACAATAACAGTAAGTAAACAATGCCAAAAACTGCGAAATACCATTAGTCATTATCACCATAGACACTAGGGTAATACTGAAAGGTTAGGAAAGAAATGGTAAAATGGTAAAAGAAAAATGCTCCAAACTCAGACAATCCAAGCAAAAATGCTAAAAGATTGAAAAAATATCTTAAAGGCAGGGGAAAAAATCAAGACAAAAACAATTGTATTAAAAGGAGCCCCAAGTAAGATTAAACATCAACTTTGGAAACATTAAAGACCCAAGAGCAGAGAACAATATGCTTAAAGTACTGGAAGAGAAAAAAAGAAATGTAAACTAGAGAATTTTGTGTTAGACAAAATCATCTTCCAACAATGAGTTAAAATGTCAACATTTCCCCAAAGCAAAACCAGATTTGCAACACCAGAAATAAGAGGTGTTTTTCAGGCTAAAAGAAATTGGCCACAGATGGGGATTTGAACTTGTACCCCCCCAAAAAAACCACAAAATTTTCATTATTTTGTATTTATTCATGACTATGAGTTTGAGGGGTTTTTGTCTTTGAAGTTTTTATTTTTCTTCTTGTTTATTTTTTGTTTTTTCTAGCAATAGTGGAGAGAATATAGAACTGTCCTACCTTTGTATCAGAATGTCTTTGAATTTTTAATTTCTGCATTTCTGATGCAATTTCTTTCTTTCCTTTTTTTCTTTCTTTTCTTTTCTTTTCTTTTTTTTGAGACAGGGTTTCTCTATGGCTTTGGAGGCTGGTCTCACAGAGATCCACCTGCCTCTGCCTCCCAAGTACTGAGATTAAAGGTGTGCACCACCAATTGCCTGCCCAATGTAATTTCTAATTTCATATTTTTGTTCTTCTGTATTGATTAGCTTAGCTAAAGACAGTGTCTGTTTTCATTATATCAGTGTTTTATTTCTTTGTTCTATGGTTTTGCTTTTACTGCCATTAACTACTATGATAAATGTGTGATTTGATCCTTCCTTTTTGTTAGTTGGTTTTGTTTTTTTTTAGATTTTTGAGTATTTATCTTTAGATAATTTAGACATAGTGTAGATATAATTTAGAGCTACAAGTTTTCCTCTTCAATGAATTTCCTAGTTTGAGTATATAGTATGGTTCAATATTATTTTTCTACATTGAACAATTTACATATAGAACAATTTTTGTCTAATTCCTTCTTTAAATGTTGTTTTTTAAAGTTTACATATGAAGTTTATATACAGTTCCTTGTAGCATTTCCTTTTTAAGTTAACTATATTTTATTTCACTATCAATGAGAAATGCTTTACTACCCATTTTACAGAATTTAAGATTTTCTTGGTAATTTAACACATTGCCATTTAAAATAATTCTACATGTATTTAAAAAGATGTAACACAATTATCTTTTTTGACAGAAACATGATCATATGGGTATATTTACCCACAAAACAGTCTGTAAAAAGTTAAGATAATAAATTGTATAATACATATATTTTACTACAATTTAAAACAAAAGTTGGGCATAGTGGTTCACATCTGTAATCCCAGCATCTGCAAGACAGGGGCAGGGAGATTCCAAATTTTAGGTTTGTCTGTCTCAGAAAACAAAATAACCAACAAACCAACACCTCGCCCAAGAACACATTTCCTTTTAAAACACAATTGTCTGACCTTTTAAGCTTTATAGTTTATTTCTTCATGATAGAAAAATTTTGACTTCTAGAAAAACAGTGATATATATCCACATAGATTTAGAAGAGATGGCTAAGGAAGAAGGGGATGAGAATATACATTCTAGCAAATAGATGACATTGTATCACCATCCACATTATATTACTTCATATACATGAAGCTTTACATTTATTTCTAACAGACTTTTATACTGTATATCCTGAGTAACTGATAAATATGAAGATAAAAGCCTGTATATCTTCATTATATAGGATATAACTTTTATAAGGAGGAGGAGTGTGAGCCATGGTTGTCAATACAGGTCAAAGCAAAGCAAGTGATGTTATTTTAAAAAATTTTTAAGAGGTACCTAAGCTCAATGATTAAAGGCAGGTGAAATGTTCAGAATAAGTCACAAAAGGGAATCTTGAAAGATTTCTAAAAATCAAAAAGATATTGAGTGGAAAAACTATCTGAAGAAAAATCTTAGTTTAATAGCATGGAAATGCAGGAACAAAAAACAGTTAAACAGATGACGAATCAGTGGGAACTAATTTACTTGAAATCTGTTACAAAAATATTGACAAAACAAATACAAAAATGAAGAATCAGTGATTTGCTCCAGAACACCAAAAATTCTAACAAAGCTGACTCATATTACAGAAAGAGAAACAAAAAAATATATTAAAGATAAATGGCAAAAAAGTTCTAAAATTTTGTGAAAATTATGAATTTAGAACTGTTAATGGAATAAATTTAAAAAACCAACCAAAATAAGTTGAGACATAACATGTTGAAGTTACTACAAATAAAATATATAAAAAACCAGAAGGAAAAAACACATTCTATATAGTAGAAGCAAAGTTCAAAGCACTGATGTAGATACTTGCAACAAACTATAGAAAAAGATGATAAAGTGCCTCAGAATTAAAATGTATTCCTAATAATAATATTTAAATTACGTGAAAGTAGAAAAACAAAGCAACCAAATAGAGTATCAACAACAGAGAACAAATAAGAAGTAGATCTAGATCTAGTCTTACTAGTAATTGCATTTAATGTTAATGGACTAAACATACTAACCCCAAGATAAGAAAAAAAACCTAAAGTATGTTCCTTATGGAGGAGCTAATCAATGTCCTCTGCCAGTCTATAACATAAATGAAGGTAAAATTGGAAACATTAAAGTTGTGAAGAGGCAAATCTGTAGTTTTCATAGTTTCTTTTCAAAGTATGTATCTTACCATGTGGTACTGTGGTTTGGAAAGGGCGACTTGGGCTTTTCAGGTTCCATAAAGTCAAACTACCATCTGAATGGCTGCACATGAATTGTTTGCCCTCATGATGCCAATCAATTGAATGAATAGCCTGATAAAAGCAAATACAGGGGGAAAGTAGATATATCATCATATATTCTGAAATCACATTGGCATAAAAATTAATAGATTGAAACATGTTGAAATAATTGTTTTCTCACCCAGATTGGGCTGTCTTTGACTTCAACCCATTACAGACATTTAAAAGCTATGAAAACTCATTTCCTTATATAAATAACGATTTTGAAAAATTTTAATGACATTAGATCCCAGGACATTTTGATATCAATTCTATGTCCTTCCTATATCCTATCTTCCATGTTTGAAAAATTTACACAGAAGTAAAAGTATAGTTATCAGAAGATAATTTCTTGTAAAATGTAGGCATAGTATCACTTAAAAGCAGATAATTTAAAAATAATTTGGGCTAGCACCTGAATGCATTCTATATGCCAAATCTCATGACATGCACTTTACATAAAATATAATATTTAATCACATAAAGGGTTTTAATTTATTTTATTATTATTTCTCAGTTTACATATGGTGAAATTAGCTTAGAGACTGAGATACTCATTTGCTTTTTAAATCACAGAAGTCAAAGCCAAACTCCTAATAAAACTCATATTCTTAACTGTTGTACAGCATTCTGTCAAGCATATTGCTATACTAATTGATTTAAAGCAAGTAAGAATTAATTTTAAATTTTTTCAAGTCCATTCTATAGTTTTGAGTTAGATAAAATTCAACAGTAATTACTTCATCTTTAAAATTGTACTAATCCCTGTGGTATTATTATACTATTTTATGTGAAGTAAATTTTAAAGAAAAATCTACTGAATTAGTAATTACAATTGCATTTCATAATTTTTGTGTTCTTTGTGAATAAATTAATTGCCATAATTTAATCACTGTATTAAATACAATGAGGCAAGTCCCTGTGGATAAGAAAATCAAAAAGTTGTATATAACATCTCCCCCACAAGAAATGTAGAATGAAGACCAATATAGGTGAATATTAATCATATTCATTGTTCATATCTTTAAACACATGTGTGCTTATACAGTTACATAATTGAATTCTTTATGTAACCAAGTGTGAAATTTTCAGCCAATATGTTTAGTATTAGAATTACAGCTAACTGATAACTTGACTAATCATTAGACGTAAAGGAAATAAGATATGATTCAGACATCAATATAAGACTAAACTGAACATAAAAGGAAACATGAAATCCTGGACTTGTGGAATTTTGTTTTTCTCTTTCTTTTCTTTTCATTTTCTTCTAGCCATAATTTCTATGTAGAGACATTTTGTCTCCAACAAAGGCATTTAGAAACAAAAAAAAATCTTCATTGTCTTTTCTGTTTCTTTTCCCTTCTGCAGGTAGTTCAAACTAAACAGCACTTCTTTTGTCTACTTTGATGATCCTCAGTCAATTTTAAACTCTCAATTTTAACTACTTGGTTAGCAAAAGTAGAGGATGAGAAAGCATACAGACCCAAAACCTCATCTTAACACAGTAAAATTCTATCCATTGGAGAAGACAAAAAAATTCTAGCTACTACTCTAAAAGAATTAACCTAACGAGAGCACTGTCTTTTTTTAGAGATCAGGAGTCATACAGTATATAACTAAGGAGCTGGTAACTGGGCTCAGGGAATTTGATTTTTGTTTATTTAGCTACATCACATTCTTTCCATCAAAACAAGGACTTACTAGAAACCAAACATCAATAATCAATTCAAGAAAAAAATATAAAACAAAAGAATGTGAAAGAAAAATACTAGTCATATTTTATCAACAGTGACTTTTTCTTGAAGACAAAAGTTTAAAAACTATATAGCAATCTGACAAAAAGAAACATGCAGTTCCCATGGAATCAAAATATTACCCTCAAGTCAAATTGAAAGATTTTTCTGAGTAAAGAAAATCGTGCTGGGATTTTGATGGGGATTGCATTGAATCTGTAGATTGCTTTTGGCAAGATTGCCATTTTTACTATGTTGATACTACCTATCCAAGAGCGTGGGAGATCTTTCCATTTTCTGGTATCTTCTTTAATTTCTTTAAAGACTCAAAGTTCTTGCTATACAGATCTTTCATTTGTTTGGTTAGTGTTACCCCAAGGTATTTTATGTTGTTTGTGGCAATTGTAAAGGATGATGTTTCTCTGATTTCTTTCTCAGCCCTTTTATTGTCTGTATATAGTAGGGCTGCAGATTTTTTTGAGTTAATCTTATATCCTGTCACTTTGCTGAAGGTGTTTATCAGCTGTCGGAGTTCACTGGTAGAGATTTTTGGATCACTTATGCAAACTATCATATCATCTGCACATAAAGTTTGACCTCTTCCTTCCTAATTTGTATCCTGTTGATACCCTTCCTAATTTGTATCCTGTTGATACCCTTTTGTTGTCTTATTGCTCTAGCTAGAACTTCAAGTACAATATTGAAGAGGTATGGAGACTGGACAGTCTTGTCTTGTTCCTGATTTTAGAGGAATTGTGTTGAGTTTCTCTCCATTTATTTTGATGTTGGCTGTTGGTTTGCTGTATATTGCTTTTATTGTGTTTAGGTATTCTCCTGTTATCCCTGATCTCTCCAAGACCTTCATTATGAAGGGGTGTCAGATTTTGTGAAAGACTTTTTCAACATCTAGTGAAATGATCATGTGATTTTTCTTTCTCAGTTTGTTTATATGGCAAATTACACTGATGGATTTTCATATGTTGAACCATCCCTGCATTCCTGGGATGAAGCCTACTTGATCATGGTGGATGATTTTTGTGATATGTCCTTGGATTCAATCTGCCAGAATTTTATTGAGTACTTTTGCATCAATGTTCATGAGGGATATTGGCCTGTAGTTCTCTTTCTTAGTTGTGTCAGAAGCTAGTCACCAAAACACCTAAAAAGTAGGGTACAGAACTAAATAGAGAATTCTCAATAGAGGAATCTAAAATGACTGAAAGACACATAAAAAAGTGCTCAACATCCTTAGCCATCAGGGAAATGCAAATGAAAACAACTCTGTATACCATCTTACTCCTGTCAGAATGGCTAAAATAAAAAAAACACCAATGACAGTTTATGCTGGAGAAGATATGGAGAAAGACGAACACTCCTCCATTGATTGCTGGTGGGAGTGCAACTTGTAAGACCTCTTTGGAAATCAGTATGAGAGGAGTTCCTCAGGAAGTAGGAATCAGTCTACCACAAGATCCAGCAATTCCACTCTTAGACATATACCCAAAAGATGCACATTCATACAACAAAGACATCTGTTCAATTATGTTCATAGCAGCATTATTTGTAATCGCAGAACCTGGAAGCAACCTAGATGCCCCTCACCTGCAGAATGGATGGAGAAAATGTGGTACATTTACACAATGGAGTACTACTCTGCAGAAAAAAAAACAACAGAATCCTGAAATTCACAGGCAAATGGATGGCACTAGAAGAAACCATCCTGAATGAGGTAACCCAGTCACAAAAAGACAAACATGGTATGTACTCATTCATATATGAATTTCAGACATAGAACAAAGGAATACCAGCCTACAATACACACTGCCAGAGATGCTGGGAAACAAGGAGGACCCTAAGAGAGACATACATGGTCCCATAAAGAAGGGGAAAGGGACAAGATCTCCTGAGCTAATTGGGAGCATAGGGGGAGAGGAGAGGGAGTTAGTAGAAAGAGAAGGGGAGAGGAGGACAGGAGAGAGCAGGAAGATCAAGTCAGGAGAAGAATAGATGAGAGAAGCAAAAGAGATACCATAATAGAGGGAGCCATTATAGGTTTAAAGAGAAATCTGGCACTAGGGAAATGTCCAGAATCTTCAAAGTTGACCCCAACTAACAATCTAAGCAGTAATCAAGAGGCTACCTTAAATGCCCTTCTCTGATAATGAGATTGATAACTACATTGTATGCCATCCTAGAGCCTTCATGCAGTAGCTGATGGAATCAGAAACAGACACCCACAGCTAAACACTGAGTTGAACTTCTGGAATCTACTTGCAGAGAGGGAGGAGTGATAAGCAAAGGGGTCGAGACCAGGCTGGAGGAACTCACAGAAACAGCTGACCTGAACAAGGGGGAGCTCATGGACCCTAGACTGATAGCTGGGAAACCAGCATAGGACTGATCCAGACCCCGTGAAAGTGGATGTCAATTTGGAGGCCTGGTTAATCTATGGGGCCTCTTGTAGTGGATCAGTATTTATCCCTAGTACACGAATACACGAATGGACTTTGGGAGCCCACTCCACATAGAGGGATAATCTCTCAGCCTAGACACACGGGGGAGGGTCTAGGCCCTGCTCCAAATGATATGACAGACTTTGAATATCTCCCATGGAAGGTCTTACCATCCCTGGGGAGCAGAAACAGGATAGGATAGGAAGTTGGTAGGCAGCAGGGGAGGAGGGGAGGGAGAAAGAACTGGGATTGACATGTAAAACAAGCTTGTTTCTAATTTAAATTTTAAAAAAGGGGGAAAAAAGATACAAAAGCCATGACTGTTGTAGAAGAAATCCTTTCCTATTTATTTATCTATTTATTTATTTAGAAAAATTCCATGCTGTATTCTAGGCTGGTCTGAAACTTTCTATGTAGCTCTAGTTGGCTTTGAACTTATGGAAATCCTTCTGCCTCACCTTCCCAAGTACCTGGGAGTAGAAGCATAACCTACAACACCTAGCTGGAAGTAATTTCTTAAGCTAATTATTTCTCAATGTAATACTGGATTTCCAAACAAAAATTAAATTCATCTATGACTTTTCATCAAGCGACAGTTATATAGCTCAAATAGTTTTTTGGTGCCTACAGAACAAATAGGATTTTGAAATATGAAAGAGACAAGAGATTTCATAATGAGAAAGCAAATACAGTAACAAAGTTATTTTTTGTTGTCTTGTTTGGATTTATTTGTTTGTTTGATTATTTATTTCGGTTTTTTGAGACAGGGTTTCTCTGTGGCTTTGGAGGCTGTCCTGCATCTAACTCTTGTAGACCAAGCTGGTCTTAAACTCACAGAGGTCCGCATGCCTCTGCCTCCCAAGTGCTGGCATTACAGGCATGTGCCACCACCGCCCACCCAGTAGCAAAATCTTGAAGGTAAGAAGTAAATTATATCATTAAGAGAAAGTGAGTAACATGCCCCAAATGTGTCAACTGTTTAATAAGACATAGTAAATAGTACTTTTCAAAAAAGCACCATGGTTTTAATTCTAATTTCCAGACCCTGTTAACTGGGAGTCAGTTGAAGTTCCTGATGTAGAGAGTCACATGATCGGATTATATCTTCAGAAGATAATCTATTAGTGAAGAACATACAGAAAGATAGATGTTAAGAGACTCATAGCCAGTCAAGCAATTTAACATAGAGTTGTGGATGTCTAAATGAGGACAAAGAGGAAATAAGGGAATGGTAAAAATAAGAAATACAAAATTAAAAAGCCTATAAAAACTGATTGTATATGATACACGAAGGTGAATGACACAGAAAGCATTACTGTGGGCGTTCAAACTGGTTTTAAAAGGAAAAGAACACAGAAAGTAGTATTAGTAATTGAATATAAAATCAGTTCTTGTAGTATTTATTTAGATTTACATATTAAATTGCTAGACATTTAAATATGAATCTTAAGAGGGTAAAGGCTAGAGATTTTTTAGTAGTATTAAGCATATTGCTTATACAGGTAGTATTAGAGATGAGAGCCTGTACAGATAAATATAAATTAGAGCAGGCAACAAAAGACAGATATTTTTTGAGGTGGGACGGGCTTGGTACGTCATTCAGCCAGCCTCAAACTAGTGACATATCTTGCTTTCTTGCCTTAGTCTCAAAACATCTAGTAAGTGCCAGTGTCCCAGACTTGAGCATCTATAATTTCAATGAATCAAATATGGAAAAAAGAGACATAATAAATAAAATAGGCACAAACAAGAAAAGAAACAATTTTTGGTTTTGGTTTTGGTTTTTTGAGACATGGTTTCTCTGTATTGTTTTGGAGGCTGTCCTGGAACTCGCTCTGTAGTCAGGCTGGCCTCAAACTCACAGAGATCCGCCTGCCTCTGCCTCCCAAGTGCTGGGATTAAAGGCATGTGCCACCAACACATGGCAAAAAGAAACAATTTTTAAAACGGGCTTTGAAAAATTACAGATAAGACCACTTGAGAAGAGTATATGTGATTTATAAAATCATCTTAGATACTTATTAAAGATAACTTCTAGATATGACAAAGTGCTAAGAAAGTTTGAAAAGTTTTGAAGTAAAATGAAGTTTGTAACTATCTCCATTAGAATATCAGGAACTACAAATGTGTAGTATAACACATTATGTGCATATATAATGTAAGTTAATATGTAAAATAATCTCTATGTATAAATTATATATACAATCATACTCTATTAACTCAGAATATTTTAATCTTTATTTGAAATTTCAATTATAGGATTATTAATATGCTTACTTTTTAAGGTCAGAAATTGTATTTCTATACATTTTAAGCCAAAGAAAAACAATTTTTAGTATTTTTCTTTTCGTTTCCTATTGATCTGATCTTTTCCAATTCTAATAGGTCAAATAGTGTTTGGATTTATCTCTAGCTCTTAGTCTTGAAAAAGGGAGAAACATTTATATCATATCTTTGCATTCTGTGTATTTAACAACAGCAAAATACTAGCTTGGCTCCGTAGAGTCATTTTTCCTTATAATTCAGATGTATTGGAAGTGCATATGAAGAACATAATTGCATGGTATTACTTGCATGTTTGTTTTTCACCAATCATAACCAAATTGCCCAGATACTACACAATTAATTTCTGGACTCGTTGGCAATGTAACTACCTCATATATATGATAAAATATTAGTTTGAAAGAACCATTAAGAAATGAATTGTGGATTTCATGAAATACAATTTTTAGCAAGATTTGGTTTTGACTTTTTATTAATGTATATACATACTTGTGTGAGTATGTGCACATGAGTATAGTGCCTGAGGAGACCAGAAGAGGGAATCAGATTCCATAACCTTGAGTTACATGTAGTTGTTTCCAACTGTTGAAGAGCAGTACATGCTCTTAACCATTCACACATTTCTCTAGTCCATGAAATATATCTTTTGGCACCAAAACTTTAAAATTTTAATTGTGATGGTATGCTAGGAAAGAAAATGTTGCATATTCAAATGTAACTATAAGTCCATTGGGTGATATTTTCTATTCCTCTAGTCTAAAAAAAGAAATGTTCTAAAAGAAATATACTAAAAGACTATTTTTCTGAAAAAGACTACTCTTTTTCTGTTTATTTCCATGCTCGCTTAAATTATGTGTCAATCTACCCATACAGGAGTGGGTGTTAACTAGGCAGAGATTTTTTATTTGTACTTTCCTTCTGTCTTATCCTGCTCCTACCTTACTTCTAATCTAAGGGAATAAATGATCAACTTTGTTTCCAAGATATAGAAATAATTTCCCCTTTCATCTTCTCCATCAGTTGCATTGCCTTCATATTAGTTTCTTCTAAATGGGAAAATAATTAAAGGCCTAGAAAAAGAGTCTAACTGGAAAGTCATCTGGGAGAAACCTAATTAAGTCTCAATTACATATAAGAAAATTCACCTCAAGATATTCATTGTCATTTATTTGTTCTAATGCACAGAATATTTCATTATTCTAAGAAGATAATTTTTAGGAAGTTTGAATCGTGCTTTTAGAAACCCGAAAGTCAAGAAGCAAATTGTGAGTATGGAACCTACATAAAAGAAAGGAGATGAGACAAATCAAGAATACATCATAAGGAAAAGAATATATACAAAGCCAAAAATAGGCAATAATCTCCCAAATTGGCTGTCAAGGCAGAATTCCCATTCAAACATAATCAACAGTTGAAACTTACACAAATAACAAAAGAATATTAAACACTAAGAAAGAACAGGTAGTTCCCAGTGATTAAAAATATTAGTAAGGCACAAAACTTAAGAGTAGAAAAGTGACACATAGTCCCCAAACTTTTTAAAAATGTCAGCAGAAATCACTTACCTCATCATAATAAACTCTCAGTTCTGCTCTTTTAGATTTCAAGTCCCAGAATACTACAGTACCATTTTCATAACCTATTAACAGCTGGAAAACAGTAAAATAACCATTTTCTTAATTCTGATATTAATTTTAACTGTGTTCAAATAAAAAGTAATGATACTACTATAAAGAAAAAACATGTTACACAACACAGTCCAGTTTATACAACCTTTTCTAGCACTTAAATACGTTTCCTATTTAAAATTGTTTTAAAACAAAGATGTTGATGTAGCAATTAAAAACAAAATTTTAAAGGGTCAATAACCTTTGCTGCAATATAAACATATTTTCTATCATATTAATATTAGCTAATTGTAATCTACAGCATAAACTTTACAAGTTCTAAAATCACCCTGGAGACAAATGTCTGTGGGGGACTTCCTAAATTAGATTAGCTGAGATGAGTAGACCTATTCTAAATGTAGGTGGGAACATTCCATGCGCTTGGGTTCCAGACCACCCAACCAGAAGAAAGCTTGCTGAGTGTAAGCATTCATCACTATTTACTTCCTGACTGTGTTTATAATGTGATCTACAGCATCATACTTCTGTCTGTAAGCCTTCTCCATCATGACAGAATTTCGTTCAACTACAAATAAAAATAACCTCTTAATTCCATAAATTGCTTTGGCCAGATATTTTGTTGCAGCAATAAGGAAAGTAACTATCAAAATGCTGGTGTTTATATTTAAATCAATATAAAGTATTTGAAAAGTAATAGTCTTCCTTTTAAAATAAAAGAATTTGAAACAGGTAAAATATAAATATTATCAAGGAAATATATTTTTACTTATCCTTGTTTTTGTTTGTTTTTTGGTTTTTAGACACAGGGTTTCTCTGTATTGTTTGGAGGCTGTCCTGGAACTCACTCTGTAGACCAGGCTGGTCTTGAACTCACAGAGATCCACCTGCCTCTGCCTCCGAGTGCTGGGATGAAAGGCATGCGCCACCAACGCCTGGCTTTCTTATCCTATTTTTCATGTGTACATTTTTCCTGTATTGTGTGTACTCCACATGTATGCCTGGTGCCTGTTGAGGCCAGAGGAGAGTGTCAGAGTCCTTGGAACTGGCATTACACTTAGTTGTGAGCTGCCACGTGGGTGCTGGTATCTGAACCAAGATTATCTTCAAGAGCAACAAATGCTCCAACCACTGACCTATTGCTCTAGCCCCTAGTTATTTTTTAAGCTATACTTTATACCCAAATGCTTAGTTATAGAACTGCACATTATAATGTTTAAGTTGATTTTACAAAAATGGCGAGCTTTCTGATTTGCTAACTTAAAGGGAATTACTTTTAAAATGTTAAAACGAAGGTTTTAGAAGAAAAGGGAGAAATGATGTAATTATATTAAATTTATTAAAAATAAAAGAAAAAACTTTTTAAAGTTTTCAATATCTTTAGCCATCATGAAGATGCAAATTAAAACTATTTTGAGATTTCATCTTAACCCAAACAGAAGGGCTACAATAAAATAAATAGCACCCCCAATCAACAACAACAAATGCTGATGTGAAGTGGAGAAAGGGAAAACTTACTACTGGTGGAAATGTAAACTGGTATGGTCACTATGGTGGTTTTTTAGAAAGCAAGAAATAGGTCTACCATGTGATCTAGCCATATCACCCATGGACATATGCAAGGGACTGTATATCTTACTACAGAGACACTTGCTCATCCATATTCATTGCTGCTCTTACAATAGCCAGCAAATGGAAACAGCCTAGATGTCCATCAACTGATGAAACACATAAAAATGTGATATATTTATAGAATGCTATTATCATTCAGCTATAAAGAAAAATGAAATTATAAAACATTCAGATAAATGGATAGAACTGGGAAAAAACATCCTGAGTGAGATAACCCAGACCCAGAAAGATTCTCTATGAGATATAATCCATAGCCAGCATGGTTTTTGGGGCTAAGGACACTTGGCTATACAAGTCATAGTCCCTAAGGGAGAGCCTACCACTATTATTTTGCTAAGTGAACTTTGTATTAAACCAACTCCTAATGATTTATTTCTATACCAATCGATAATTCATCTCTCACCCCTCATCAGAAAAGCTTTGAGTATTATATGAAAATTAAGCCAGAGGGCTGCTACGGGTTAATGTGCAGAAAATAGGAGATTGCAGATTAGATGGATTTGAAAAGAGAGAAAGAGAGAAAACAAGAAGTTGTATGGATTGGGGTGGGGTTGAATATGGTAGGAGTTGGGGATGGACATGAACAAAATATATGAAATTATCAAAGAATTAACAAAAATATTGTTAAATTCCACATATTACAGGATACACATAAATATTAATTGAAACTTACACTTTTATATATACATATGAAAAGAAAAATTACTAATATTGCCAACAACTAACCAATTCTAAATGGTAGGAATCTTTGTCTCACTTCTGTGCAAAGGGAAAACAAACAGCATTGAGGAGGATATATTCATAGCTTCATGTGAGTTTTACAGTTTCAGGTTCACAAAGTTCTTCTTTCCTTTTTTGTTTTTTTCTTTTGTTAATATGGAAAGCATATTGATTTTTATAATCATCCAAGGATGAAGAAAATTTGATTGTGATATTTTGTGACTTTTCATTCCCATTTTGATGGTTTATTCTACTGAGGTGTGGTCTTGTTATGTCGACCTGGGATTCATGATCTTGTTGATCCAGTCTCTCAAAGTACTGGGATGATAAGCATAAGCCAATGACGTGGCCTCATTCATTGTTTTTCTGCTTTTGTTTAACTAATTAGTTAAATAATTGAGACAGCTTCTCCCCAAGCTGGTCTTGAACTATGTAGACAACAAGACCTTGAACTTCTGATTCTCCTGTCTCTACCTCTACAGAACAGGCATGTGCTTCACCATATCTGGTTTATGCTTTTAATTGTAGGAAGGGGTTTCTTTATAATATTTCATATACATATAATGCTCTTTAATCATATTCAGCCCTTTCTTATCCTACTTACACACTTCTGGTAGTTTCTCTTTTACTTTCATGTTCTTTACCTCCCTCCTATACTACTTTTTACTCTTTACAGTGATTTTTCTCTTAACTAAACCTGGTCCAAGATAGTTTTGCAGAATCCACACAATGGAATTCAAAAAGGACACAGCCTTGCCTACTACCCCTGTATCACTGTGTCATCCAATCTATTTGTCCTAATCTTTGCAGTGACTTCAGAGATAAAGGATTTGATAATCTCAGCAAGTAGAGATAGTTTCAGGAACTTTTGTTCTTTCTTCCTACTCTACCTCTGATTACAATGTCAGGAAACCAAAGAATCTTAATCCAAATCACTGAGCATATCTGTCCAAATTACACTTAAAGAAAAAATGGAATATTTCATGCAGATGGATGGTGTACTTTGAGCTTAGTCTTGGGCTAATATTTCATTTACCATCTAGTTACTTAGTTTATATAACTTACCACTTATGGGAGGACCACAATGTTGTTTTTTTGGGTTTGCCAATATTAATGCCTTCTCTGACCTTTTAGATAATTGTCCTAAATTTTTTCTTTTACAAGTGATCATTATTGTTCTTACATGTATTTATATTCCATATCCATTTATAGAATATTTCAAAATCTTTCTTCAAGGGCAACAGAATCCCTTTCAATCACTATATTCTGGATCTGAAATTTGACTTACACTTAGAAGATCGATGAGATGCGATTTTTCCATGTTGGTGATAAATATTAAGAGAAAACTACTCTTTACATTTTTCTGATTAAGCAAATCAAATATCCCAGTCAAACATCCCACCTAATTTTATCCTTAGAAATGGCATGTAATATTAGTTAATACCAGGCATTCATGCATTGTCACCCTACCCTAGCTGCTTGTTACAGTAATTTATACCCAGGATGACAGATGGTTAAATATTGCCACCTGGCCTCTACCAATCTAGATATTTAATCTTCATAAATATTATGGAGACTGGGTCTTTGCCATCAATTCCTATTGTCAACAAAGGCCAAAAAAAGGTAGCCACTAGCTAGTTTTGTAAATGTGTTACCTGCTTTTCCAGAGTATTCTGCCTTACTAAATAGAAACATATCCTTAGAAGCCTCTTGGAGAGCACCAGGAGGTGACTTAGAGAAAAACTCTCAATTTTTGTTTCTTAAGATCCAATCCCTTTTTTAATACTATACCAGAAGGAATAGTTGGTATCTCTAGCTACCATATGCCACTGTTGAGTCAAGGCTTCAAACAATTAATCACTGCAAACTACTATGACAAAGGTCATCACCAAAGAATTCTAACCCAAGACATGCCCTATGTAATGAACTGATTTCTGTATAGCCTCCAAGTTCAAACCCTTAGAAATCATTGCTAAACACATCCCTCTAGAATATTTTGTAAATATTCTACTTACTTTGTGTATACTCTGTTTCTGTATAGAGAAAGATTTATGTATTGATGTTAGATTGTAGTGATATCTGAGGTTTGATTCTGGTTTTAGATCTGAGTTAATGACTCCAGGAACCCTTGTGAATACAAATATCTGCCTCCTATAGAATAGAACCTCCTTTCTCTAAGTGACAGTGAAAATGATGGTTCTGCTGTTCAGATGGGCTCATGGAAGTTGAGGCTGGTAAAAAGAGTTACAGTTTTCTCAGGCTTGTCTTTATATGTTTACCTATCCTAGGTGTGATAGTTAAAAACATGTTGTAAAAAGTCACATATTCATTCAAAACTTCGATATGTAGCCTTATTTTTGAAATAAGGCCTTTTAAATTTATAATTAGTTAAGAAGTTTGAGATGAAATCATCCTAGACTTAGAGTCCTAAATACAATGGCTGAAACCTTATTAGATAAGGGGAAGACACAAAGGGACAGAAAAGGCAGGCAGAAGATAGATGCAGAGCTGGAGTTATACTTCCTCAAGTCAAAGAATATCTAAGCTACAAGAGGCAAGAAAAAGTGTCCCTTAGAACTTTTAGAGCAGTGGATCTCAGCCCTCCTAATACTACAGCTCTTTAATATAATTCCTCATGTTGTGGTGACCCCCAACCATAAAATTATTTTCAT